ATGCAACTGCATTTGGAAGCCAGTCACCACACTTCCAATGTTGTTCCTGCAAGAATTAGATACGAGATCATGGATTTGGAGTAGGTAGCAGGAAGGAGTAATTCTTGAACCAATCGGCATTCACTCTGCCTTGGCTAAACAAAGCAGAGCTGGCTTTATTACAGTTAGTTGAGTTCAGATGTGACATTAACAACATTTTTGTAAATGCTGAATGTTGTGAAATATCCCAATAAAGTAATAAAATCTCATCTGAAAGTGTTCATGCATTTTCCCGTGATCTAGTTTGGGAGGACTGGCTTTGGAGACAGGTATGTACTCAGGCATTCCCGTGTGATCTTGGCCAAACCTCTTAACTCCTCAGTTGTCATTCTTTCATTTTCAAGTTGTAGTATAAAGTGTAACAATCCTAAGTGTACAGCTGATGAAGTTTTGTATATGCACAAACCCATGTACCCACCACTCACATCAAGATACAGAAGTTTCCATCCCCTGCAAGGGTTCCCATGTACCCCACCACAGAAGGAACCAGTGAATGATTTCTATTTATGTAGATGAGATTTGCCTGTTTTTGAACCTTGCTTTACCTTGCAACTGGAGGAACAGATAGCATGTACTCTTTGTGCTTAGTTAGCCATGGTGCCCATTTATCCTGGTGAGATTCATCCATGTTATGTGTATTAACCGATTGCTCTTTTTCACTGCTGTTACTATTCCATAACGTGAGCACACCACAGTTTGTTTCCTCATTCTCCTGCTGATGGACCTTTGGGTTGTTTTCAGAGTTTGCCTATTGTGAACAGAACCACTAGGAACATTAGCTATTGTGCATGTTTTAAAATTTTTTTATTTTTTTATGTTTATTTTTGAGAGAGAGAGGGACAGAGTATGAACAAGGGAAGGGCAGAGAGAGAGGGAGACACAGAATCTGAAGCAGGCTCCAGGCTCTGAGCTGTCAACACAGAGCCGGGTGGGAGGCTCAAACCCACAAACTATGAGATCATTATCATGACCGGAGCCAAGTCGGATGCTCAACCTACTGAGCCACCCAGGTGTCCTATATTGTGCATGGTTTTAGATGGACACACAGCCAGGAGTGGTGGCTGGGTGATAGGGTTGGCATGTTTCACTTTAGTAAGAACTGCCAAACATTTTCTGAAATCTTTTAATCGCTCTTTAAAACAGGAAAAACAAATCTCTGCCCGGTTATTGTGAGAGTATTTAGTGGACTCTTAAGGTATAAGGCTTCAAGCCTGTACCTGGAGCACAGTGGGGGCTCAATAATTGCTGGCCTCTACCGGAAGCAGAGGAAGGGTCGGGCAGTTGGCGAGCACTGTGGGGAGGTACCTGCCCCAGACCCTTGGGCAGAGGCCTTTCCCACACAGCAGTCAAGAACCACACCCAGAAGGCTGGGCAAGCCCACAGTGGCGCCCCTGCCCTGCTCCCACCTACCCAGCCTCCGTCCACCGTGATCCTGCTTCCTCAGGCCCAGCATTGGCGTCGCGCCCGTGCGAACTTTGGTGTCACCCGATATTTATTGAGCACTAACTGTGTGCCAGGCCCTGGGCGCCCAGGTGCAAACGACATAAAGACCTTCACTCCTCAAATTACTGGGTAGGAGGAGTAGGAAGCATGGGGACCACTGACTCCGAGATCAGCCATCCACTTGGATTCTGGCCAGACTCTGGATTTCTCCTAGAAGTTTCCCGAGACAAACACGGAAAGAAAATAATTTTATCTTTTGCGCCCCAGCAGGAACCTAGGTCGGTCCGGTGCACCCGTCCGACAAGTCCAGGCCCCCAAGCCAAGGCCAAGCACCCACCCCCGCCGCCCAGGGGCTCGGGCTGGCCGCGAAGCCCCGCCCCGCCGTTGGCCAATGGCCGCGCGGTCCCGCCCCTCCCCACCCTCCCCCTCCCCTGTAGGGGAGGGTTCCGGATTGTCCCGGGAGGTCGGCCTGTCGGCGGGTCGTGGCAACCCGAGGTAAGATAGCCTCCCCGGGCGCTCGGTCCCGTCGGCTCAGGACGCGCGGACGCCTCCCCGGAAGGTGGCCAGCGGCGGCAGAAGCCGAGTGGGACTCGAAGTGCGCCCGGGCGCACGGGGGTCTGGGGCGCACGGGGTTCCGGGGACAGGTCTGGCCGCGCGGGTCTGGGGAAGGGCTGGTCTTAAGGGCACAAGCGGTTCGCGGCAGCGAGGGCTCCACGAGGCTCAGCCAGCACCCGGGGTGTCGCCGGGCGTCTGCTGGCACTGGAGGGGAGGTTGGGCCGGAAGGAGGCAGGCACAAGCAGCTGAGGTCCTCCAGCCGCACCGGCAGGCCGAGGGTGACCCTGGGACGAGGCCTAGCCGGGATGGGCCAACCTCCCCGAGCCGCGGCCGCGCCTAGGGGCTAGGGCCGCCGCCCTCCCCGAGATCTTTACAGTTCTCGGTGATGACACCTGCTCAGAACAGCCTCTCATCCTCCGCGGGCCTGGTCCCATCCAGGAATCCTAGCCAAAGCAGTGAGGCCTCGCCCCTCTGGGCCCGAAGATTATTTCTTTCCGGGACGCACCCAGAGCCTCCGAGGCTGTCGGTTAGGAAATTCTCCTTGCAACGTTGGTCCGCCCTTCTTCTCTGAGACCACAAGGAGGTGCTAAGAAAACATTGAAAAAACAAAACAAAACAACCCACCACAACAACACAGCAAACAACCACGTTCTCCTGCACGCTGTGGAGCCTCAATAACTTCTAGAAGGATAGTCAGTTACCTGAGAACTGCGACTGCTGTAGAGGGCAGGTTAGAATGCTCTCAGCCTTGTCGGAACGATGTCCATTTCGCACAAGACAAGGACTAAATATTGCAGTCTCCCAGGGGCACCCTCACCCAGTGACCCCCCTCACCCAGACAGTGGCCTTGGTCCCTCTAGTACTGTGAATCTCACTTGCTGCAGCTGCCCCCATGTTCTGCAAGATGTATGGTGAGCTGCAAGGAGGCAACAAGTCCTGGGTTCAAATCCTGTCAGGATCACCAGTCTGCTTGTGCAACCTGGCATCATTTCTCCTCTCCTAAATGAAAGAAACCCAGGATGTGCTTGCCTAAGTGGACCATCAATATGTGAACAAATGTGGGCTTCCTTTCTTTTTGGTTGGAGCATGTTATATTTCCATGCTCCCCAAACTGTGTTACTAAGGGCTGAGGCTCAGGTGCAGAAGAATGTGTTACCTGATTCTGTCCTGGTACCTCCCTGGATGCCATGGGAAAGAAGGAGAAAAGGGTCATTTCGTCACCATAGAGTTGTTCTTTGCTCATCTCCTGAAGGCTCAGAGGACTCCCACCCCACCACCTCCTTGATCCTCTTGACCTCTGTCATTAACACTTGCCCCACCAGGAAAGTAGCACCTGGTGGCTGACGAAGGGAGGCAGGCAACATGAGGCTCTGAGGCCAGTAGACAGGACTGTCGCCCCATTTCCCATGTGGTGAGGGACTGGCAGCTCAGCTGTGCTCTGCAGCACTGCCTCCTAGAGTCCCACCCAAGACTGACACCACCTGGCCCTCCCTTTTCTGATCCCTTCCTTCCCAGAAAATCCACTTGGATATCTAGTAGCCTCTTAAGCTTTTTCAGAATGGATCTTTGGAGTCCTCTCTGTGCCACAACTTGCCCACCAGATTTTCTGGCTTGGAAAATGGCACCATCCATGCACCTAGTGCCTGAGGAATCATCCTTGATTCTTCTCCCTTCTTCACCTCCCACATACACAACACACTAAGAATCCAGCCACCTCTCACCACCTCCATGGTTGGCATTCTGGCCATACCCTTCACGTGGCTCCCTGCTTTAGCCTCCTGATTTGTCTTCTTGCTTCCATCCTGGTCCCTCCACAGTCTAGCTCCTCACAACTACCAGGGAGGTCTTTAACATAAGTCAAATCCTCTCCCTTCCTTGCTCAGAAGCCTCCTATGGCTCCCCATTTCACTCTAGAGAGAAAAAAGTAAACCCAAAACTCAAAGTCTTTTCCTGCAACGCCCCCATAAGCTACCACTCCCAACCTCCTTGACCTTGATCTCAGCCCCTCCCCTAGTTTTTTAAACCTGGACCACCCGGAACTGATTTCTGTTCTTTAAACATGCCAAGCTTGTTTCCACCTGAGGACTTCTAATTTGCTGTGCCCTCTGCCCAAAACACTGATCTCACAGTCCAGAATGGCTCATCTCAAATGTCATTAATCCAGAAAGACTTCCTGACCAACTCTGCCTAGGCAGCATGCCCTTCTACAGGAGTTCTGTCTTCTTATCCTGCTTTATTTTCTTTATAACCTTGATTATTGTTTGGAATTTTTATTTATATGTATACTTACTGATTTGTCATCTGTCCCACCTGAATAGAATATAAATTGGATGATGGCAGAGATCTTATCCCTCTTACTCCCTACAGCTCTCCCTGAGGGGGGAAGCAGGTAAGAAATTTGCAGACAGCCCCATCTATAATTGCAAATTGTGGTAAGTGCTACTTAAGGCAATTGCTTGTAATTGAGGCGCTTGTAAATGTCAAGTTTACTAGGTTGAACTATTGTGTTGTCAAAATAAGCTCTCTGAGCCATTTTAGGGGTGAAGACAAGCCTGGAAAAGACTGGTAATTTGCCCCAGATCACACATAGTGATTGGAACTCAGCCTCCTACCCTAAGAACATGTATGTGGCAAGCTTTAATGGTGGGCCTGCAATCATGTTCTGGAAAGAAACTGATCCTCGAGCCTGATAATTTTCCACTAACTAGCAAGCCCTTATTCTTGGTACTTCATTTTCTTCACCTTTAAAGTAGGATGATCTTATTATTATCCTTTTGGGCTTTTTTTCTCCCTAGTACACCCCAAAGAAGTAGCACTTCTTGCTTTCAGCAATGAGGGGCACATACAGACCTTAGGACAATGGCAGGGAGTCAGAACTCTCCGCAATACCAACCAACCTACAAGACAGAAATGGGGCCTAGATCTTCTGGATCTTATTTCTTTTGTTCATTAATTCATTTTTTATTTTTTGAGGGCCTCTGGACTTGGGCAGTAATAAAATTGGATGATTAAAGAAAGAAGCAAAACATTCCAAAGAGTTGAGAAAGAAAGAAGTAATTGCCTTTTGTCCGATCCCACTCCCAACTCTGTTGCCATATGTGGTGTGTTTTCTTCCAGTCTTTTTTCCCCTCTCAGCCCATCCTTTTTTGGGCCAGTGCCCTCTGTCACTTCAGAACCTGGACAGCGATGACGTTTGCTGAGGACAAGACTTACGAGTATATCCGCTACCATTACAGCAATTTTGGTCATATTCATGTTCTGGAGATTCTGCCTTATCTGTCCTGCCTCACAATAAGTGACCAGGTGAGCTGGGGCATGACAGCCAGCCACTGACTTGGGGCAGGCTGGGGGTTCAGAGCTTCACCCAAAGCCTGGGCCAACTCCTTCCTTCTTGGTTATTGTCTGCATCCTGCTTCCTGACCTTGACGCTTCTCTAACTTGCTGAATCAAGTGTGGGTCAGGATGGCCTTTCCAACATGGCTGAGCGCCCTCTCGTGTCCATTTGGTGTAGTGCTAAAAATATGGTGCCAGCTGCCTGAGATTTCTGGGCTTCAAACCCCGTTCTGCTTCAGTGGGAACCTTCCTTTTCTTCAGTCTGTCTTGTCATTACTCCTCCTCAGTTCTGACTCCGTTCTCCTTGTCATGGAGCTCTGTCCTGGCAGGGAGTCCAGGGCTCAGTTTTGAGAGTTCATGGGAGCCAGACCACCCTCATCTATTAGAACTGGCTGTGGCCCCAAGTGAAGCCGGGCCAGCCGCCGCCCAGTTTCAGCTGCTCCCAGATGGCCCGGGCCCTCTGCTGCCTCAACGCGGCTGAGGTGGCAGTGGTGAGGTGGCCGTAGCGGTGGAGCAGGCCTGTGGCTGACAAGGTCTGCCCCTGCCCTCCTGCCTTGCATTTGGGGGCTTGTGGGGATGCCTTGTGACCAGGTCTGCAGTAAATGTTTTCTGTGGCTTTTCGTTTCTGCTGTCTGGTTGCTTGTCTGAATGTGGGAATTCAGTCTGTATGTGAGATTTAAAACCTTTGCCGCCCCGAGATTCCCCATCCTCCTGATTCTTAGGTCAGCTGCCTCTCTTCTCCTTTTGCCTCCTTTCATCTCCTGTTCCCTATGCACCCTTTTCCTCCTCTGCTAATCCAAACCCTTTCTTTTTGCTTTGGGGGCTGCATAAACTGAGGAACTGCCAGGTTCCTCACCAGTAGAGTAGGGGTCATGGCATTAAGATAATTCACACACAGCCCTGAGCTCAGAGCGTGGCACACACTAAAAGCCTACTTCCTGGAAGCTGCCTTTACACTTGGGCCCAGACACTGGCCTTGTCCTGGGCTCTGACCTGGTTTTGCATGGCTGCCGCACTCTTGTGGCTACTTGGTGTCTCTCTCTGCAGCTGTCCCTGAGTGGGGAAGGGTCCAGGGCCATCTGGCTTGAACAGGGCATCTGGCTGTGTTCCAGGACCGACTGCGGGCCTACTACCAGCTCTGGGGGAACCAGGGCACCCTCTGGGAGCTCTTCAACAGCCTTCGGCGGCGGACTGGCTGGGTGGAATCCTTCATCAAGGCCCTGAGGATCTGTGAGCTGGCCGGTCTTGCTGACGAAGTGGCCTCTGTCTACCAGAGCAACCTGCCTGGTGAGCTTCTTGCCCTGGCCCTCCTCATGGAACCCCTGTCATTCCCCTGGCCTCCACTCTGTCTGTCCCCTCACCCCTGTACCTCCTGCCTTCCACTGTCCCCTTCCCTCCCATCACTCCTGGGCAGTGGACAAACCTGGGTGTCAATCCCAGCTTAGCCTCTTGTTAGTCATGTCCCTTTGGTGAAGTGCCTTAATTTCCCTAAGCCTCAGTCTTCTTCTCTGTAAAATGGGGTTAATGGCCAGACATCTACGTCATAGGGCTGTGGTGGATACCATGGGACAGTGGGTGGCATGTTGAGTGCTTAGCTGGGACTGGGTGCCTCCCGTGTGCTCAGCAAGTGGGCCTTCTAATCTGTGTGGCTGTGACATTTGCCTCCCATTCCTTTCCCACTTCCTGTCTTCCCCCTCAGTTCACCTTCCCTCTCTCCATTCCTCTCTTCTCTTCCTCCGTTTCATGTCTCCTCTTTCTCCCTCATGGGTTCCTTCTTCCTTTCCCTCATCTCTTCCTCTCCCCCTAGCATCTCCTGGAGCCTTCTAGGTCCCCCACTCCAGCTGCCCAGTTACTCCTCAGCTCCCTTTCAATGCTCCCTGCCAGGTTGAGTGCCCAGAGGGATCTGGTCAGGTCAGGTCTGAGGGGACAAGACAGGAAGAAAACTCAAGCCAGCCCTATGTATGTTTTAGACTAGAGACGACTCCTGAGACACTGCTTAGATTTAAAGCCTTAGAACAGCCCTACTCCCCCCCTCCCCCCGCCATTTGCTTTC